TACTATCCTTATTGTAGGTGATAAATTTTACTCCGATAGTTTGTCTTGTGACCTGTATGTCATGAGTTCAAATTCTGGAAACAATCTCTATGCTTGCAAGATTAGGGCTATTTTCATCTATCCTCTCTAGAATAATGTCCTCGTTTTGGAGATTGCAAATGTAATGTTTCTTCAGTGTTTTTTTAAATGCTCAACTTGGTTCTCTTGGTTTCTGCAGATGGGTGTTAGTGCAGATTTTGATACTGTTTTCAAAGAAATGCTGGATAGTAAAATATGCGTCAATAATTCTTCACTTTATGTGTGGTCTGCTTCTTTTTTTGAATTAAAGGGAAGATTGCGTGATGCCTTCACAATCTATCAGCTTGGCATTTCCAGGTCAGTGTTGCTGAGACTGCTTTTGTTACCTGGTTGTTCTGTTATTGGAAGTTGTGATGTAACAATTTAGGACTTAAGTTTTAGGGTCCATGTTGTATAGGAATGCGGAGCCAATTGAGTGGTTGAAGAAAGCACAGACCTTATTTCTCAGTAGAATTTCTGGAATACAGAATGCTGCTTCAAGTCAGAAGGTGTGCGTCATGGAACAGTTGCTTACAGTTAAGAAATTGTGCCAAATTTATATACTACTTTTCTTTAGGGTTACACCACTTATTTCCTCAACATTGTGTCTGTTCAGTTTTAAGATTTACTAAACACTCTGACTTCATTAGCAATTTAAGAATTCTTATTTCAGATTGATGATAAAGAACACATGAAATTGGTGAACAAGGACATTAATCCATGGGACACCTCCACAATGAATGATCTATTGAAGAAGATAGATCCTTTAATTGCAAAAGCTGATGTGAGACATTTGATAATTTGTTCTGTACATGCTTTGGTTTACTGCACCTGATAAAGATTCACTCCCCTCATGCCTCTTTTAAACACATTTCAGGGGTATTATTCAAGTACTAAACCTTACACAGGAAAAGTAGCCTTATCTACTCTGAAGAATTCATCAAGGAATAAAGTTATAGAGATAGGTTATACTCCTCAAATCTTAATCGTATTTATCATCTAAATATAATTGTGTGACTGATTTCCAACTTTCTTATGTGTACCATCAACCTGAAGATTCTATTTTTATATGCACTTCTTTATGTTTTTGCAGTATGCCTGTGTTTGCAAAGAATTTGGAATATTTGAGATCCATCCCAAAAATTAACTATTATTAACAAGATTAATTTGTCAATAGTAATTTCTGTGTGAAGTTTTGCAAACTGTTTTGCATGTGACGTTCACATCCAGATAACCAAATCAGAAAGCACTCTGTTCATGCCACTAAAACATTATAGTTTAGACTAACATGATGAATTTATATGTTAGATCATAAATATTTAGCAATGGGTCAGGCATATGTTCAATTGAGTTTATACTTCAATTAAATATTTTGCCCTGTATTCATTGCCATAATAACTTAAAATCTCTGTGCTTGAAAAAAAACAAAAAAACACCTTACTATGAAATAAACAATCTTTGTTGATTTTGAATTTTATTACACTTTACCAGTTCATAGTTTCTACATGAACTAGGGAACTGGGTTTATTATTTATCTGATTATCTCTGTAAGCTGCTTCTGGATCTAGAAGGTTCAATTTATTTACTAAGAGAACTAATGCTCCTGATTGTCCTTATACACATTGACATCCAAAGGTGGAAACAAGTACCATATCAAGGGTTGTGCTGGACAGGGTGGTTTTGCTCAAGTATATAAAGCATATGTCAATGGTGATCCTGATGATCTTGTTGCATTAAAGGTGTTGATGACCTTTCTATATCATTTTTCTCTCAAATGTAGGCCAATAAGCTATAGTACTATCTCACCAGATTGTATTTTGGACCTTAAATGGCAGATACAAAAGCCGCCTTTCCCTTGGGAGTTTTACATGTATCGTCAGCTTGATATGCGAATTATAGGCAGAGAAGTATGTCAATTTCTATTACACATCAATCTCTTTTTATGAACATCTTATTCTGAATTCTCTGACATCTCACTTTATTAGAGGTTAAGCTATGGTTTGGCTCATAGAGTTCATCTATACTCTGATTGTAGCATACTCATATGTGATTATTTAGCTCATGGAACGCTTCAGGTCTGTCATTTCTGTTGATTTCCCTTTGTATCTCGTTCAACTTCAACATGCTGTAATATTAATTTTCACTTATAAATATTATGTAGGACGCCATAAACTCATATGCGGTCATAGGAAAATCCATGGAAGAAGTGTTATGTATTTATTACACTACAGAAATGTTACAAATGGTTGAAACTATGCATGATGCTGGCTTGATTCATAGTGATTTCAAGCCTGATAATCTGCTTATTCGCTATGCTAGGTAAAATTATGCTTCCGTTGTGGATCATGCTCGACACTTATTTTAACAAACTTTGTGCAATTAGAATTATAGTACTTCATTTTTCCACTATCCTTTCCAGTTGTCCATCTGTCCCTTTCCTCAATTTGTTTGTACCTAGCAAAATTGTAATTGTAGTTGTTTCCCCACTCTTAATTTATGAGGTCTTGATTAATTTATACCAAGAAGGCAAGAACAGCCATTGCAAATTTGTTTCCATAATTTATATGAACTAGGGATTTTTCCAAAATCCATTAGTTTCCGTCTTGTTATTAAATGCTTTTATATTTGTTCTTTAGTACGGTAGAGATTGGGCTGAAACTGCTGAATCTGGACGGATGTTGATTTGGAAATGTCTGGGTGGGTACCAGTAAAGGCACTTTAACGCTCAAGTCAATATATGTGAAGATATGTAGAAAAATAAGGATGCAAGAGTATATGAGAGAATATTAAGTGTAAACTTCCTTATGAGAGGTTTCTTCTATTTATAGAGGAGTTGAATATGGAATATTCTCTGGTAGATGATGTAGCCATGATAAACCATCATGTCATGTCACGTCTGCCTCAGACAAGCATGATCCGCTTTATTCATGTCAGACGATCTTAACATGCCCGTACTTTGGCTGATACAATGCTTTATCTAAGGTATGTCGTTTTGTTGTCTGCCCCGACTATATAGTTGTATATTAGGTCTGTCCTCGTTACATGACAGAGGGAGAGGATAGTCCAGTGTTTAGACGACGTGTTCAGCTCTGTAGCACTGCGTTGTTCATGCAATGTGACAGTTCTGTAGTAGAGGTCTGTGTTGTTCAAGCGACTTGACAACCTTGTAGCATAAGCATGTGGTCCCGTAACTACTAACCAGGCCATGTTCCATCATTGTCGTCCTTTGTCTGACTAGACTTGCTGTTCGGACATGATCGATGACTGTATGATCCAAATGTTATTTGTCCGGTATTTGGCTGTGACCTACATAGATTGGGAGGCTAATGACGTGTCTTGGAACCTGGATATTGCGTGGGGTTTTATGATGGCCCCCCACCATATCAAGTAGAGTATCATATGCTGGGGTTAACATTAAAAGCATCATTGATAAACAAGGCTTGTAGTATCTAGTGATAAAGAAAAACCTACATGAAGGTGTTTTAAATTATTTGAAAAATAAAATTTATATTCAAATGCGTGAGTTCTTTTGTTTATTGAATGCTTATATGATGTGATACATACGTTCTACTAGAGTATTAATAGTTACGGGTTGTAGCAAATTGCTTATATGATTTGTATTTGCGGATGGTCTTCATAGTTAATAAGTTTAAGTTACTTTCTATTTTGCAGGGGTGATCTCACAGAAGATGGTTTCTTGGACCGAAGTGGTTCTTGGCGTGATCAGGTCAGTTTTCTCAGTCCCAGAAATGCAAATAAACTTATTTTTTGTTTTCATTATTACCCATTTTTTATCTTGCAGGGTCTTTGCCTTGTTGACTGGGGACGAGGGATTGATCTGCATCTCTTTCCAGATAACACAACGTTTAAAGGAGATTGCAGAACTTCTGGTTTTCGCTGCATTGAGATGCAAGAGGATAAGCCATGGAAATTTCAGGCAAGTCATTTCTAAAATTACACTCCAAATAAATACAATGGTGTTCACTATTGACTGCATTTAAAGGTCCCTTCTCTATCAATTGCCAACAGGTAGACACATATGGCCTTTGTGTTGTTGTCCATATGATGTTGCACAATTGCTATATGGAGGTTGTCAAAAAAGAATCATCTGATGGGGTCTCCGTGTATCTTCCCAGGCTACCCTTTAAACGGTATATTCCTCATTTTAGTCGTATGCAATTGTTACTTCTGTTCTACTGCCTCTGTGATTTGTTGTCAAGGGAATTGTTGTGTGGAAATGTGGTAACTTTCCAGTTTCCAGGTTGCTAGATTAAATATGGAAACTTAATGCCACAACAGAAGCATTTTTCACCCTTCCTTTTGGTTTAAACTTCTTTTCCATTCTGATATTTTGCTTGTTGAAACACATAGTTACTGGAACATTGACCTGTGGAAGAATTTCTTCACCAAGATGCTAAATCAATACCCTGGCAATGATGATAGAAGATTGCTGCAAGAGTTGAAGAAGTCTTTCCAAGACTATATGAACTCTAATCCCCAGCTTGTGAAGAAACTAAAGGAGTTACTAGCCAAGCAAAGGGCTTCCTTGTGTTCTGCCTAGTGTTTTTGGGATCACTACATATCCACTTCCATATTCTGCTAATCTTATTGCGTAGGTAGTTTGGGCTATTCTCTGGAATTTGACCTTTTTAAATAAGGGTGTACATAGATTTGTAAATGCAGAGTGTCTTGTATGCAGTTAAGACAGTTTTATATTGTAACGAGTTCATTATCATTAGGAAGTGTATCATATGCAAAGCTACACAGCATATATGAATGCTTCTGAGTTGTTTAAAAATCTCCAAACATTTTGGGTAACTTATATGACACTTGGATAAGTTTCAGATCATATAATGATGTTTCAGTTATGGCTTGAATTTCTGATATTAGACTATCTTAACATGTCAACATTGCTGGAGGGAGCTAAGAACATAAGCATAATGTTAACCAATCAAAAGATATATGATCCTGCTGATGTCAACAATCGATAGTTCAGGTTTCTACCTAGGAATGTTACTAAACCACCTATCTACTTTAATAAAAAGTATAGGAATGATTTTTCCTGAGTAGTTTTTTTATAACAAAAAATGAGGTTGGACAAGGATATAATTAATTGCGCTTTGACTGGCATATTAAACTCCAAATTTCTTCATTAAATCTGATACTATAAATTAATATTTTAATAAATAATTTTCTTAATTAATTTGCGTTTTGACACGGCTTTATGTCTTAAGTGTGATCTTAAGTTTGATGATTGATTTTCAAGAACATTATTTCAGTAATTATTGGTATAATATTAAATATATATTTTTAATCTTCTGTGATATGAGATTTGGACATGGTTAATCACTTAATTGGGACGCAGAAACAATTTGTGGAATTTTGTTTGAAAAAAGCAGAAAAAAATAAAGGTCAAATTAGTAATTAGAAATAAAACCCTAGTCTCGTTCGTGCTCCCATTTATATTCAATCATTTCCTTTACTTTACTTCACTCACTCACTCACCCACTCATTCACGATCTGAAGCACCATACTCTTCAGGTATCACTTCTTTTCCATCAACACTTATTTTTCTTCACTTTCACTCTATCTTTTTCACTTTAGATCGGTTTCTCTTTTTAGCGATATTCCATTTTCTTACCTAATCGAGCTCAATTTGTTTGTGTTGGTCAATGAGCTGAAAACTAGAATCGATTTGTAACTTGTGCTAGGTTAACTATTCTGGATTTCTGTAGTACTGTTGTTTACTTAATGCTTTGTCAAATACTCAAATTATGCATGATTAGGTTGACTTTATGAAGTATTGATGTGTTACTATAAAGAGGAAAAAATGTTTTAGTTTAGCAGTTTCGAAGTGTATTTTCGATTTGAGTTGTAACTTGATTGTGGATGCATTTGTTTATATTTCAAAATAGTATATTTGTGCACTATTTATATGTTTATTGTTTTTATAACTTTGCTGCCATTGAATATTTGATATTGTCATTATTAAAAATATTCACAGGTCACAAAACTTGACTACAATCATGGCTGATGGACCGCAGCATCCATCGGTGGTTCAGAAGTTAGCTGGACACTCTTATCTTGTGTCCAGGCTTAGCCCCAACTTTAATTCCAGGAATTATTCGAATTATGGTGCTTGCTTCAATGGAGGTGTGCAGCCTTCTGGTTTGGCAATTGTCTCACCCGTTTGTTCCATTACCGTGCCTGCTCCAGCAGAGAAAGGTGCAGCTGGATTTTTGGTGGATTTTCTGATGGGAGGAGTGTCTGCTGCTGTATCTAAGACAGCCGCTGCTCCAATTGAACGTGTTAAATTACTTATCCAAAACCAAGATGAAATGATCAAAAGTGGTCGGCTATCTGAGCCATATAAGGGAATTTCTGATTGCTTTGCTCGAACCATGAAGGATGAGGGTGTGATTGCTCTTTGGAGAGGAAATACTGCTAATGTTATCAGATACTTTCCTACTCAGGTCATAATCTAACTGGTTCTTGTGATGATTTTATAGAGTTCTATAGATGATTGCCTTCATTATACTCTCTCATTCAAGTTATACACGTGGTAACAACTTTTCGTCAAAAGTGGAGAAACTGTTAAAACTAGAAAATGTGGTGTAGCTTTGTATTGTTTAAACTTTAAACATCTGACATCTTGTTTTATTGTTTTGGCAGTCATCTTTTTATAATGCTTGAATATACTTTTGCTTTGCTTATATTTCTTTGCACACCCTATAAATAACTCGATGTATGCTGTATCGTGCAAGTTTCCTCTAGATCTTTTCTGTAACATCAAAACATACTTCTTAACAAAAACCCTTCATGCAACACAATGATTGCACATTTGTAGTTTCCTTTAAGTGTTGTTCTTATTGCATTATATTTTTTTTCCAGATTTGCTAATATTTTTTAAGAGCAAGGATTTTAGATAATGTGTTTGCTCTCTTGCTATTTACATCCCTTGGCAAAAGCGACATTATCGTTTTTTATTTGGGTCACGATTAATATAAATGTATTTATGGTGTTTGACTGTGGGTTACATCCCTTGACAAAAGCAAAATTTTCCTTCTTTTATTTGACTGTACGAATGCTTTGTGCTTGTAGTCAGTAGTGTGCTATCACATGTGCCGCTGCATCATTTCACGACAATCCACTGTGCTCTGCTTGTTCTTGAACTCCCATCTTTTCTTATTTTGTTGTCTTGCTTTATGCTTTGCAGCCCACCATTGATTTTTACTTCATTTGTATGTATATAATTTTTTTGTTCCTTATTTTTCTTCCTGTTTCCTGTGTACTTCACAGTGCACATCCTTTTGGCATCATCTTCCTTGATTAGCTGGTTAGTTATGTCTTGGGTTCATGGTTACTGCGTCTGTCTGTATTCTATACTGTACAATTGATTATTAATGATTAATGATCTAATGCCTTTGATTTTGGGTATTTTTATTTCCAGCATAAGTGTGGTATAAAGCTATAAATTATTTACATTTTCCACCTAACCTAGAGTATAGCAACCATCCCCTAACTTGCTATCCTGCTATGATCTTTTTGGGATTGGCCGTTATGAATCTCTATCTGGGATTGACTACATAGGTTGGATGTAAATGTAATTTTTGGTGATTGACTGTGGGTTTTGTAGTTTCTCTGTTATTTCTCTAACTTCTAATTTCCGCTTTTCCTTCTAGGCTTTGAATTTTGCATTTAAGGATTACTTCAAGAGGCTTTTCAACTTTAAAAAAGACAGAGATGGCTACTGGAAGTGGTTTGCTGGGAATTTGGCTTCTGGTGGGGCTGCTGGGGCTTCCTCCCTCCTATTTGTCTATTCCTTGGATTATGCTCGAACACGTTTGGCTAATGATGCAAAAGCTGCAAAGAAGGGTGGAGGGAGGCAATTTAATGGTTTGGTTGATGTTTACAGGAAAACCATAAAGTCTGATGGTGTTGCTGGCCTTTATCGTGGGTTCAACATTTCATGTGTTGGAATTATTGTGTATCGTGGTCTATACTTTGGAATGTATGATTCTCTGAAACCAGTTGTTTTGGTTGGTGGAATGCAGGTATGTGCAAAATTTGAATTTGAACCACGGTTGTGTTAAATGATGCTACTCTTTACCTCAATTCAATATAGATTTACTTTTTATAAGCATAATGTTATAGTTAACTTGATACCAACTACATGAATTTTCATGATTGTGTCCTACTGTCCTTGAAATTTATCAATGGGTCTAACATATGTTAAAAATGACATAGTTAGAACTTAGTATGCTGGCCTAGATTCCGTACTATATTTAGCATTCGATAATAATGTTAGCATTTAGTCAACTGCATTTAGCAATGCCTACCTACACATAATTTCTCAGAAAGACTATATCAACACATACTATCCATCATGACCCCCAAACTTAAATTAGACTGTGTTTGCTATAACATTTTTACCACTATTAACTTTTTTACTCACTCTGATTTTCCTGTTAACAGGATAGTTTCTTTGCTAGTTTCCTTTTGGGATGGGGAATCACAATTGGTGCTGGCTTGGCTTCTTATCCCATTGACACTGTGCGTAGAAGGATGATGATGACTTCTGGAGAAGCTGTGAAGTACAAGAGCTCTTTGCATGCATTCCAAACAATCCTTGCAAATGAAGGTGCCAAGTCACTCTTCAAAGGTGCTGGTGCAAACATATTGCGTGCTGTAGCAGGTGCTGGTGTGCTTGCTGGTTATGACAAGCTGCAGCTCATCATGTTTGGAAAGAAATACGGTTCTGGCGGTGGCTAAGATGCAGATAATGACGATGATAATTCCCTCAGACAGTTATGTTTGTTGCCCTTTCATTTAAATAATTTTGGATGAAAAATGCTCTTTATGTTTCTCAGAATGACTTTTGTTATTTAGAAACTATTATAGTTTTGCAAACTTGATTGTTTTTACTTGTATTGAGGTTTAAGACCCTGCATTTTTAGTCACCCTGCTTGGTTCAAATAATTACTACTATCGTTTTTATTGTTCATGCTTGATTGAATGACTTAGATGATACATTCATCCTAAAGCAGCTTTGAGTGATTCAGGTTCTTGGAAAGTATAGATTTGTTTAGTCTTCCTATTGATTTTAAGACTTAATAAGTTCCCATGGTGATTCATTCCTCTTTATGTAAATAGCGAAATCGTATATTTACTTTTTTCCAACTATAGAAACAAAATGCAAACAATGGGTCACAATTATAAAAGTATTCATTTTCTCAAATCAAACAAACCTTAACGGGATGCATTAATAATAAGAAAATGCTAGACAGCTAAAACATTTTGTTGGTGAAAATGTGTTGGTAGTGTCATTGTCCATTATGTTGCTCAATTATTTGGTTTATACAAGTGATCTTAAACGAATCAGGAAATCAAAGCTGTGGAGTTGGTACCTGAACACTCATGATTTTTGGACGTAGTAAGCAAATAATATACCTTCATTCATTGAAGTATAAGGGTGTGTTATTGACTTGAGTTTCTGAGTGGAATGAAGAGGAAAATGTTTGGGAGACATGAAATATACTTTTCTGGAACCTTAAGAGAAACTTTTGGCCTTTTCAAAGGATCTAATTATTGTCTGATTGCTAAAAAATTATTCTATCATATTTACAAGACTAAAAGAAGTATCAAAATTTAGCATTACTGAAATGTTGTAGTTATTTCAATGATATACCATTTATAGAAAAGACCTGAATTATTGGTAAAGTTACTTCAGTAGAAAATTACTTTAAAGGATAAATTGCACTTAATAATCTTGAGGTTTATTATAATGAAACAAGCACCCCTTTAGTTTCATAATGAAAAAAAATCTCTCTTTTAATCAATTATGTCACAACGCTGTGAGACAGCACAATGCAAAATATGGGAGATCACTGTTGTCTTTTAAACTAGAGGGGGTGTCCCACAAGACTAAAAAGTCAAAAGTTCGATTCCTGTAAGAGACACTTGTTGGAATGGGCAACCACACAATCAAAAGAAATTAATTCCTTAGTGAAAGAAACCTTCAGTAGTACCCAAAAAAAAACTAGAGGGGGTTCCATGTCACTGTAACAAACCCACCCCAAGGTGGTGAATATATTTTCTAACTTAAATTCATAATTAGATTCTCGTAGGTCCCTATAAAATAGTGTCAAACAGTGAACCTTTTTATTTGAAACTATAGACCCTTCCATAAACCCCATGAACAGTGAAAGTTTATAGGGACTTTTACAATGATTTAACCTAAATTTTTATACAGATATTATAGGAGAAGATCGGTGTCCTTTGCACAGTTAGACATCATGGTAAAAGGTTGTGTAGAAGTGGAAAATAAACGGATGCACAGAGAATGGAATGAATGCCAAAAGATTATGTTATGGAAACTATAATGTATAACATTATTGATTATTGATACATAGCCAGTAAAATTTTGAAGGAATAAAAAACATTACTAACATAATCAGCTACAAGCCAATGCTGCAAGATACAATTATGAGAAGAATTATACTGAATATGGATTCTATCCCAACCTGCAAAACACAATTAAAAGTCAGATTTTGTAAAATGCAACCTAAATACTTAGTTAAAATCATGTTACATATTGCCATTTGAGTCAACATAAGGCAATCAAAGAGTAGAAAACCAATAAATAATTCTTCATTTCAACTTTAGGCATGAATCAAGTGGTAAAATTGAAATGAATAAAGGCCATACTCTTAGCCATCTAGAATCAGGTGGGAATATCAAATTACAAAATTCTGTGAAAAGCTAATAAATACTCAAACCAAACAAGCATATGAATGTCAGTGGTTTGTATTACCGAAATTATCAAGTTGGGCGGAGTCAGTTGATCCTATTGGTATGAACACGGTGGAAATGTTTTCAGACTGGTGGAAGCGAGCGCCGACAAGTTGGGCACTCCATCTTTATATCCATCCATCTTTGCAAACAGCCAGAGTGGAAAAAATGATCACAAGGCGTTACCTGTGGAAGAGTTTGTGCATTGGACTCAAATCCAGATTGTTAATATT